GCACATAACAACAACATACCTTTATAATAATAATAATAAAGGCAAACAACCCAATCAAAAAAGGATGGCTGAGGATTTGAACAGACATTTCACCCAAGAGGATATAAGATGACCAACAGGCACATGACAACACATTCAACATCATTAAGCTACGATGCCAGAACCAAACCCAATGCTGCTCATTCTGGTATATGATGAGCCTTCTAAGTGGGGGTTCCAAGGCTATAAATCTTCATGGCAGGAGACTTCCCATCCTTCTCTCTCTCTGTCAATGTGGTGGTGTACTGTCAAATCGGAAATGACCCATAGTTGGCCCTCCAGTGGGATAGAAGAGGCAGTATATCTCACAGGAGAAACTCCTGAGGAGCAACTGGGGAATTTGAACCCTCTAACTGTAGGTTGGCAGAACAACTCCTTACCACTAAGCTACCACCACCTGCCCTTCCTTTAGCGGCCCAACATGCTACATGCTAGGCCTCTAGAGCAACTTCATTAGTTCCTGTTGTTGTTGTTATTGAGTATAATCGTAGCGATACTCTGAAGAACACACTGGAGCCCTGTCCTATCCTGCGCCCTCTTCACAACCTCTGACACACGCAAGCCCACTGCTGCAGTCACTCTGTCAAATTATTTTTAATTAAATATTTCCTGTGAATGAAAAATTGATTTAGTTAAAATGGTGTAAGAGGGCTGTTTTGTTTTTTTTAATTGAGATTTTAATGAAAGTTTATAGAGAACTTGGATTTTCATTCATTCATTGTTGCACATTTTCCTCCCTGAGTTCGCTTTTCTCTTTGATTCCCCATCCCCACTCCAGTCCACTTTACTATTATTCTGGATTGCTGTCATATAAATAATACCTAATAATATATTCCTTTTAAGCAGTTCTTTCCCTCATCTGTATCAGTGCAATGTACATTATTTATTCCTTCTTTTCTTAGTCTCCTTCCAACCCCCATGTCAGCCTTGTTTTACAACAGTGGTATTATGCAGTATTTGTCCAGAAAGCATCAAAAGAAGATAAATGGAACACAGAGAGTCACTGTACCAGAAAGAATTGGCTGACACGGAAGAATTTCATGAAACAACATATGATCAAGAGGCAATGGTGATGAAGGAGAAGTTCAACCTTCTCTGAAGAAATTGGCAAAAAAACAAAGCTCCAGGAATTGATGGTATTACCAATTAACATTGTAACAAACAGATGCCACCCTGGACATGCTATATTGTGCCAAGAAATCTGAAGGATAACTACCTGGCAAACTGAATGGGAAAAAAATCCATATTTATAACCATTTAAAAAAAGTGATCTGACAGAGTACGGAAATTATTAAATAATACCACAAATACCATATGCAAGCAAAATCCTGCTCAAGATTATCCAAAAATGACTGGAACAGTACATCAACAGAGAACTGCCAGAAGTGCAAGCTGGGTTTAGAAGGGGCTGTGGCACTAAGGAAATTATCACTAATGTCAGATGGATCTTGGCTGAAGGCTAAGTGTACCAGAGGACTAGTTTCCTTGACTAAACAAAGGCAAATGCATGACTGTGTGGATCACAACAAATTGTTAACCTTGCTAACAACTGAGAAGATTGCTAACCTTGAGAATAATGGGAATTCAAGAATACCTGACTGTGCTCATGAGAAATCTATACTAGGACCAGGAAGCAGTCTTCAGAACAGAGCAAGAAAACACTGCATGGTTCAAAATCAAGAAAGCATTGCATCATGGACACATCCTGTCTCCAGGTCTTTTCAATCTGTATGCAGAACAGATCATTTAAGACTGGACTTCATGAGGACGAATGTGGTATCAAGATTGGAGAAGACTCATCAGTAACCTGTGTTAAGTAGTTGATAAAACCCTGCTCTCCCAAACTGAAGAGGATTTGAAATGTTTGCTGCGGAATGTCAAGGACAGCAGTGTTCAATACAGACTGAAGCTCAGCATCATGAAAACAAAGATTCTCACTAATGGGCCAACTGACAGCACCATGAGAGAAGGAGGAGACATTGAGATTGTTAACAATTTTGTCTTGCTTGGGGGCAGGCCACAAACAATACTCTTGATAACCAGCAGTCAGGAAATCAAAAGATTAATTTCATTGAAAAAAATCTGCTGTCAGGGACCTTTCCACAGTGCTAAAGAACAATGATGTCTGTTTAGAGAGCAAAGTGTACCTGATCTAGGCCAGGGGCTTCACAATTACTTGTTATACATCAGAGAGCTGGACATTGACTAAGGGTGACAGAAGAATAATCATTGCCTTTGAGTTGTGCTGAAGAAGAGCAGTGAACATTCATAGACTGTCAAGAAAATAAACAGGTCTGTCTTGGAGACAGTGAAACCAAGCTGCTCCTTGGAGGCAAGGATTTTGAAGCACTTCCTCACATACTTTGGGCATGATGCCAGGACTAATCAGTCCTTGGAAAAGGACATCATGCTTGGAAGGGTGGAGGGACAGTGTAGGAGAGGTAGACCCTGCATGAGATGGATTGACATTAACTGGGGTTGTGGGAGTAGGTGTGTCAGAGGATAGGGCAGGGTTCAGAGCCATTGTGTATTAGGTCATTATGAGTCACAATCAACTCGACTGCACGGTAACAACAAAGCTGGTGTGGTGATGGCTGTACAACTTAGGAAATTTACTAAAAAATAATTGAGTTACACATTTAAAATAAGCCTTTGAGGGGTATAATGAACTAGTGTAGCTGCTAACTGAAAGGGTGGAGGTGCAAGTCCACTCAATGTGGAAGACATGACTGGCAACCTACTGCTTAAAAAAACAACCAGCAGGGAGCTCTGGTGGCCTAGTGGCAAGAAGGTGCAATCCCAGAGGCGAACGGTTCAAATCCACCAGATGCTCTGCTGCAGAAGGAGGGACAATCCCCTCCTATACCAGTCAAATCCAATTTGACCGTACAAAAAAATAATAAATTTTTAAAAACAAACCCAACCAGGCACTGAAACCCTATGGATCACAGTGTTTCTTTGACACACGTAGGCTCACCAGGGATCTGTTGTTGTTCTTGTTGTTGTTATGTGCCGTCGAGTCGTTTGCAACTCATAGTGACCCTGTGTACAACAGCCCTAAACCCTGCTCTGTCCTGTGCCAATCGCATTGCCTCTGACACACCCATCCCGATTACCCCAGTCACTGAATCAATCCACCTCATTGAGGGTCTTCCCCTCCTGCACTGTCCCTCTACTCTACCCAGCATGAGGTCCCTCTCCAAAGACCTGTGGATAAATTATGTATACTGCATTGAAACAGATGAGGGAGAGAACAGTTTAAAAGTGACATATGATTGGGTATTATGGTTATGACAAGAGTCCAGAATGAAGGCTGCATAGGGATTGTATACCAATGAAGGAATTTTTCTTTTGCTTTTTTAATTTCTCTTCTACTTTTCAAAGAGAAGAGCAAACTGGGGGGCAGGGGAGGGAGAAAAGTGCAACCATGAATGAATGGAAATCCAAAATCTCTGTAAATGTTCATTAAAATGAATAACATAACATTTTTTTAAAAAAATTTCAATAAAGTGCTTCTATAAAGTGGCTACAAGAACATTTAAAACAAAAAAAAAAATTAAAAAAAAAAAAAAGAACATTTAAAACCAGGCATAACTTTCCCAGTACAAAGAAGAGGGAAGAAAAGCAAAGATGCACACAAACAATTAGTTACAAAGTCTAATGGACCCTTCCACTAATGGTCCATCAATGCATCTCAATGTCTATGATTGCGAGACCAGAAGTAGAAGGTGCCCAGCTACCACCATTGACTACTCTAAAAGACATCGTGTGAGAAGGTCCTTGATAGAGCGCTGGTAAATGTGGACTAAAACACAAAGCATATAAATAAATGGCTTTCTTTGTCCACTGTTCTAATAGTCTGGTGGACTCTCCAACATTGCGGCTCTCAGTCACCCTCTGAATCTGGAACAAAACTCACCCCTGGGCTCAACTTGGGGCAAACAGCAAACAGGTCTATAAAATGACCAACAACAGCCAGACCAGTTTACAACGCCAACCGGAAAGAGTCAGATGGGCAGCTTCTGCCCAAGGATAAAGCTTGGAAAGTGGGAAAGGCTAAGTAGAAGGATTGATGGAAATGAGAATAACAGGAGTAAGCCGAAAAGTGAGGGTGAAATGTATTGTAATTAACGCTATAAAGGAAAATGTGTTTTCAATGTGTACCCATGCCAGAGTAAATGGCAGTGGCCCATCACTCATGGACTGAGAGCACTGACGGAGCAGCACATTGACTGGGGGGCGGGGCGAACCAGTGTATTAATTATTCAACCTATTTGCTTTGTAAATTTTCATGCAAATCTCTCTCTCTCTCTCTCTCTCTCTCTCTCACACACACACACACACACACACACACACACACACACAGAGAACAAACATAAATGGCAGTTCAATAAAGTTAATGAAAATAAACAAAAATTTGTGAACCAGTGTCACTCTTCAAACCATCTCAGCTCTTCTCCCAGACTATGGGCACCATAAACACTGTCCACGCGCCACTGAGTGGAATCAAAGCTCACAAACTGGGGCTCCCTCCCTCCCTGTTTCCCGTTGGCCCCTATTTGCTCGGAATCACCCTCCCAAGAAACGCCCACGCCCGGCCGTTGCCCACCTGACCCATGAGACCTCTTCCCACGCCGTCTATCCACGGTGGTCGCCGTCCTCCGGCCAGGCACCCAGGTCCGTGGGGACCGTTACCTGGGCAACCACTCGGGGCGGAAGAGGCTACTATTACTCTCGGCTTGGAGCCTCGGTGCTGCGGAACCAAGGGCGCGACTGGTCACAATAGAGGGACATCACGGGAGTGATGCACAGCGTGCAGGGACCAATGGGAAGCTAGGTCACAATCGCGGGGCGTGTCGGGAATTGTAGTTTCAGAAGGGTTTGGCGCGCTGCTCTGAGGCTGCAGAGTGAGAGAGCAGCGCGCCTGTGGAGCAAGAGACTCACAAGCTCTATGGCGGTGCCTAGAGTCCCTCTGTGGGCTATCTGCTTGCTGAGGGTGGTGCTCGCCACCATCTACTTCCAGGAAGAATTTCTGGACGGAGGTGAAAGGAGCCACGCTGGTGGCGAGGGGCGTGAAGAGTTCATTGACCAAAGGATGGCCGAATTGGCTTGGGCCCCCCGAGGGGTCATCTCTGCGGGGTTGGGGACAGCAAAGCTTGGAAGCTTTGGGACCCTGAGATCCCCCTCACCCTCCCCGTGAGCCAAATCGCAGGCTTCTCCCTGACCTGTGTTGTTTCTCTCTCACAGAGCGCTGGAGGAACCGATGGGTACAGTCGACCAATAACTCCCAATTCGGGCACTTTAGACTCTCATCGGGAAAGTTTTATGGTCATAAGGAGAAAGACAAAGGTTAGTGTAGGCATCACGGGGAAGTGGAATTAACTGGGCAACACCCCTAGCAGCTTTGCAGAGTGGGTGTGGTGATGCCGCACAATTTGTTAAACCCATTTTGCCAGTGAGGCAAGGAAAATACCGGTGGGGTCTAAAGTGCATTTTTTTTATGAGCACTTGTTGTTGTCCTTTCAATTTCTACTCACAGTGACTCTGTGTGACAGAGTAGAACTGCTTCATAGGGTTTTCTAAGCCGGAATCTTTATGGAATCCATCGTCAATTGCCAGCTCTTTCTGCTGAGCCTCTATCTAGGTGGTTTCAAACCACAAACTTTTCAGTTAGCTGATAGTGCTTAAGCACTTGGAGTCAGAAATCTTAATGGAAACTAACAGCAACTGACTGAGTCCTTGGGTGATGCAAAACAAATGAACTCTGGAAGCCTAGTGTTAAGAAGCTGTGCTACAATCCCAAAGACCCACAGTTCAAATTCACCAGCTACTCACTGTAGAATGAACAGTCTCTTCCTACGTGATTTACTGTCTCGGAAAATCAGCCGGAGGGTCTGCAATGAGTAGGTTCCAACTCCACAGCTGCATAGCAAAGAACTAACTGAAGGGTGGATGGATGGTTTGAGCCTAATTTGAGTTGCTTGCGAAGAAAAGACCTGGCAATCTATTTCAAAAGACCACCTTTTGTTTTGTTTTTAAATATTTGTTGCATCTTACACTTAATTGACAAGTGTTGGTGGTGGTGTTGTGTACCACTGAGTAGGATCTGACCCTCTGTCGGATTTTCAGAGGCAGCTAATCACAAGGGAGGAAATTGTTCATCCCACAGAGCAGCTGGTGGATTCAAACCACATGCCTTTGGAATTGCATTGAAGCTTCTTGCCACTAGGTCATCAGAGCTCCAAAAGATCACCTTTTGAAAACCACCTGGAGCATCATTCTACTCTATGCACATGAGAGGCCATGAGTTGGAGTTGACTCAACACCAACTGGGATTTTATTCTTATTAAATTTCATAGAACTTGTCAAGAGACACGAGTCTCCAATTGGACTCCACTGAATTGTTTAGGTTTTTACCACAGTTTTTTCTCCCCTCTTCTTATTTGGGATTCTCAGAGTCTACATTCATTCATCCATCCCTTGGGGACAAGATTCCTGAGACTAGACAGGGGACACCCAGTTAGACACTGTCTCCTGGTCTCTGAGACCATGACACTGGGGCCCTGACTCGAAGGTTGTGGAGAATTTAGCCATAATGAGGTGGAGATGTGGGGTAGATAAGAGAAGGCAAGTGGGCAGTGGAGTGGAATCAGCTACAAAAGAGACACAGGGACTCAGCTGATGTAAGGGACTGGCTAGGTCATAAGGGAGAGAGATGTGCCAGCTATTGGGTGATTTAGAAAGAAGGAGAATGGAACAGAAGGTTTGTAGAGTGGTAGTTGTTGTTGTTATGTGCCATCAAGTCACCTGCAACTCATAGTGACCCTATGCACAATAGCCCTGAACCCTGTCACATCCTGAGCCAGTCTCACTGATTCCGACACACATAACCCCATTATCCCAGTCATGTGTCAATCTATCTCACCCAAGGTCTTCCTCTCCTGTGCCAACCCTTCACCTTTCCAAGCATGAAGTCCTTCTCCAAGGACTGGTCCCTCCTGGCAACATGCTTGAAATATGTGAGGCGGAGCTTCAAAATTCTTGCCTCTAAGGAGAAAATTCTATAAGCATAAATCCATGAGCATAGGCGGCATGGCGCTGGAGACCAATTTGAAAGTCATCTACTGAAGTTCTACAGAAGCTGTTGGCTGGAATGGGTGAGCTGTAGGGTGGAATGTTGATTTGCTAGGGGAAATAAGGCGTTTGTTGTTGTACAGAGGAAACTCGTGGTTGCTGTGATACTAAACACTGTGACACTGATGTGCCTAATGTGATAATGGTTACCCATGGTGGACAGTGTTTGGTGGAGCTTCCCAATTAAAACAAGCTTGGAAGCAGGAGTGGCATCCACTTCTTTTTTTTTTTTTTGGCATCCACTTCTGAAATGGCTTGCCTCCAGAAACTCTATGAACAGTGCTCAGGTCTTTTGTTCATAGCGTCACTATGAGTCATCTCGATGGCACTTGACGACAACAACAACAAGGAGAAACTTGGTTTCACCCTGTCCAGGTCAAACCTGTTTGTTCTCTTAGTATGTCTCTTGTTCCATAGTATGTTTAATACTGTACTCCAGCACCACAACTCAAAGGCATTAATTCTTCTTCTGTCACCTTTAGTTACCATCCAGCTCTCTGATGCATAGCAAGTAATTGCAAAGACTATGGCCTTGAAGAGATAGTTATTAGTTCAAGTTTGAACATATTGATCCTGAGGTGGTGCAGTTTGTTCTTAACTACAAAACAAAAAAGTTACTGGTTTAAATCCCCCAACAATGGGATGAAACCCTGCCCTTCACGAGCCATCCCCATGATTATCTATGGATCAGAGTGGTAGGATCTATGGGATTTTCACTGATTGCTTCAAAAGTCAATCCCCAGGCCTTTCTTCCTAGTCTATCTTTGTCTGGAAGCTCTCCTACATCCTAACAATGTGCAAACCTTCACCAACTGATGGGTTGTATGGTGCATGCGGTAGATTAGCCAGGGATGGAACCTGGGTCTCCGGCATGGATGGCAAGAATGAAACCACAAAATTGACCCACAAAAACCCTTCATACTTAGAAACTAACATGTTCTGTGTTAAGTGAGATGGAGCTTCGTAACGTGGTTTCACCCTCTCCAGAACAGACCTGTTTGTTCTCTTGGCCATCCGTGGTATGTTCAGCACTGTTCTCCATACTTCGGGCATGTAGCTAGGAGGGACCAGTCTTTGGAGAAGGACATCATGCTCAGAAGGGTGAATGGACAGCATAGCATAGGAGAGGAAGACTCTGGATGAGATGGATTGTCACAGTGACTAGGGTAATGAGATTAGGTGTGTTGGAGACAGTAAGGCTGGCTTAGCATAGGACAGGGTTCACAGCTATTGAGCAGAGGGTTGCTATGAGTTGTAGGCAACTCGACAGCACATAACAACAACATCAAGTACAAAAATATCTGAATACGTAAACTGAAAGGTCCATGGAGGCAGCATCGTGAACAGTGTGCCTATTGGGTTAGTAGTATTGTAGTCAATGTGGTGCCGTGAAAGAAAGGCCTGGTGAACTATGTCTGTAAAAATTAACCCTAAGAGAACTCTATGGAGTTCTGCTCTACCACATGAGGTTGCCATAAGTCACAATCAGCTCAATGGCAACAGGTTGTTTTTTATGCTCTTGAGTTTTTATGCTGGATAAGAGTAGTGAATATACCATGGACTGCTAGGAGAGCAAACAAGTTCATCCTAGAGAGGGTGAAACCAGGCTGCTCCTTGGAGGCAAGGATTCCAAGTCTCTATATATTTTGGGCATGTTGCAAGGAGGGATCAGTCTTTGGAGAGGGACATCAAGCTTGGGGTGTTGGAGGGACAGCACAAGAGAGGAAGACCCTTGATGAGATGGATTGACTCAGTGACTGGGGTAACAGCGGTAGGTGTGTCAGAGGCAGGATAGAGCAGAGTATATAGGCTGTTGTACGTAGGGTCGCTATAAGTCACAAATGACTCAACACACGTAACAACAACAAATTAAATATTGGGGTTGGGAACAATGACATTGTTTAACTTTCCCAAGTCCCTAAGCACAGTGTTACCCTAATCCTTCATTAGTACCTTTTTCTTGAAAGGTCTGCAGACCACACAGAACGGCCGCTTCTATGCCATCTCTGCGCGCTTCAAACCATTTAGCAATAAAGGGAAGACCCTAGTCATTCAGTACACCGTGAAGCACGAGCAGAAGATGGACTGTGGAGGGGGTTACCTCAAGATTTTCCCTGCCGATGTGGATCAGAAGAACCTGAATGGCAAATCGCAGTACTACATTATGTTTGGTGAGTTTACGTGGGCCCAGTGCAGCTGTTTCCAGAGATCTTGAAAACCTGTCTCCCAGGGTGAGCTGTCTTTGCATAAAATATCTGAAAACCTGTTAGGTTAGCATAACAGCAATAATGATGGTAACCTTGTTAAGTCTTATTAATATTCTAAAAAGATCACAGGACTGAGGATCCTTAAGCTTCTTGCCCTAAGATATTCTTTAAACCCTGAAGACTTCCCCTGAAGTCTTCCTTTAACTAGCAGGTTAGCCCAAATAATAGAGAATGCCACTGTTGAGGTTTGTTTGGGTTTTGGTTTTTTTAAAAAAGAGATCATATGCACATCCATGTTTATTGTGGCTTTGTTTACAATAGCAAAGAGCTGAAAACAACCCAAGTGCCCATCAACAAACAGAGAAGCTCTGGTATATTCACACCATGGGATACTATGATGCATTGAAAAACAAGGAACTCTAAAACAACTATGAAATATCATCTCACTCCAGTCAAAATAGCAAAATTTAACAGAACAGCAAGCAACAAATGCTGGCGAGGTTGTGGAGAAACTGGAACCCTTATTCACTGTTGGTGGGAGTGTAAAATGGGGCAACCCCTGTGAAAAGCGGTATGGCGCTTTCTCAAAAAGTTGCAAATAGAGATACCATTTGACCCAGCAATTCCACTACTAGGAATATACCCCGAAGAGACCATAACTGACATCCAAGCAGATATATGCACACCCATGTTTATTGCAGCTTTGTTCACAATAGCAAGGAGTTGGAAACAACCTAAGTGCCCATCAACAAATGAATGGATAGAGAAGCTGTGGTATATTCACACCATGGGATACCATACTGCACTGAAAAACAAAGAACTAATGAAATATTATTCAAAATGGTTGACTCTGGAGAACATTATGCTGAGTGAAATATCCCAGTCACAAAAGGACAAATATTGCATGGTGCCACTGTTGTAAAACAGGACTGACCTTGGGGTTGGGGAGAGACTGAGTAAGATGGGTTCAATAATGTATACTGCACTGAAACAGAGGAGGGAGAAAACTGTTTAAAAGGGATATGTGATTAGGTATTTCTGTCATGACAGGAGTCTAGAACGATGACTACATGGTGGAGTGGTCCTGGGGGAGGGTTTGTAAAACAATGAAAGAATTTTTTTTAAAAAAAACAACAACAAGGAACTCGTGAAATATTATGCAAAGTGGATGACTCTAGAGGACATTATGCTGAGTGAAATATCTCAGTCACAAAAGGACAAATATTGCCTAGGTCCACTATTGTAAAACAGGACTGACATTGGGGTTGAGGAAAGATAGAGAAGGAGAGGAGGAATGATGTATACGGCATTGAAACAGGTGAGGGAGAGACTGTTTAAAAAGGATATACGGGGGAGCTCTGGTGGCCTAGTGGCAAGAAGCTGTACTGCAATCCCAGAGGTACACAGTTCAAATCCACCAGATGGTCTGCCGGAGAAGGAGGGACAATTTCCTCCTGTACCAATCAAATCTGATTTGATGGTACGTGCACAAAAAAGTAATAAAATAAAATTTAAAAAAAAAGGATATATGATTGGGTATTATTGTCATGACAGGAGTCCAGAATGAAGTCTGCACAGTGGCGTGAACTTGGGAGGAGGGATTGCATAACAATGAAAGTTTTTCTTTTACTTTTCAAGGAGAAGAGAGAATTGGGGGGGACAGGGAGAAAAGTGCAACAATGAATGACTGGAAACCCTAAAAAAAAAAGAGAGAGAGAGACTAATAAGACAGAAGTTGCTCTAAAACATAGACAAGAAAGCTAGGGATAGAGGGAAGAGAATGAGACAAAGTTAATGGGAGAGAAACAATCAGATCAGAAATGATAATAATTCTGCGGAGAATATAGCCCATGTCACTTTAAAAGTCTCGAGCACAGTTCTGTGTAGAGACTGTTGAATGGGGCCCATGCTTCACTGTGTATGTTTTCACCAGAAATAAAACAGAATGTTCAAAAAGTACTACTGTACCATTCTTTCATGCTTTTGAGAAAATTGTTTATTCAGCATTCTCAGAACCTGAATATACTGACTATAGCAGGAGCTGGCAAACTATGGCCTGTTTACTATGTTTTCCACTCATGAGCTAAGAGTAGTTTTTGCATATTTCAATGGTTGAAAGAAAGAAAAAATTAGGGTACCATTTCGGGACATGTGAAAAAAAAATCATGTGAATTTCAAATTTCAGAAATAAAAAAATTCCGATCATATGACCTTCCAATTTGGAAAAAAAAACCCCAAACCCACAAACCCCACCATGTTTATTTCAAATTTCCACAAATACGGCTGGTTTTGGTTTTTTTAAATAGGTACAAAGAAAGTTTTGTTGGCACACAGCCATGCTTGGTCATTTGTCAGTGTCTCTCCTTTCCTGTTACAACAGATGGCAGAGTTGAGCTGGTACAGCAAAGGGCATCACCCACAAAGTTGAAAATCTTTTCTGTCTGGCCCTTTACAGGAAATGTTTGCCAACCACCAGACTGTACGCACTCTTTCCTGACACAGAGGGTTGTGGTGGCTGTTAGACTGTTAAGTCAACTGTGACTCCTACCCAACCTATTAGCAATTAACCTGCACCCTGCCCTATCCTGTGCCATCCTCATCGTCTCTGATATACTTGAGCCCATTCTTTTTATTGTTTTCATTGATATTTTAATGAAAGTTTACAGAAAACTTGGATCGCCATTCATTCATTGTTGCACATTTTCCTTCCTACTCCCCCCAGTTCCCTTTTCTCTTGAAAAAGATTCTTTCATTGTTGCACAGTGAGCCCCTTTATTGCAGTCACTGTGTCAGTCTATCTTGTTGAGCATTTCCCTCTTTCACTGACCCTTCACCTTTTCAAGCATCATGTACTTTTCCAAGGACTCACCTCGCCTGATGTGTCCAGAGTATGTGAGACACAGCTTCACCATCCTTGCCTCCAAGAAGCAGCCTGATGGTGCCTTTTCGAGTACATACTGTTTGGGCTGTTCAGCACTCATCTCCAAAATCCTAGCCCACAGACCTCAATTTCTCTACTGTCATCCTTAGTTATTGTCCAATTTTCAAATGCATAGTAAGTAACTGGCAATACCATGGCTTGAATTAGTCTTTAAACTGGCATTGTTACTTAGACCTTAACACCTTAAGAGAGTTCATTGACAGATTTTTCCAATGCAACACGTCTTTTGATTTCTTGACAGCTGGTACCAAGGGTGTTAACTGTGGATCCAAGCATAATTAAATAATTGGGAACTTAATCTTTTCTCCATCTATCAGGATATTGCCTATTGGTCCAATGAAGAGGATTTTTGTCTTCTTGTTGTTAAGATGTAAGTCAGCTTGAAGGCTTTAGTCTTTGATCTTCTGCAGCAAGCATTTCAAGTCCTCTTCACTTTCAGCAAAAGTTGTGTCATCTACATAATACAGGTTGTTGATAAGTCTTTGATTCTAATGCCACTTTCTTCTTCATAAAGTCCAGCCTTTTGAATGACTTACTCATCATACAGATTGAAATAGATAAGGAGAAAAGATACATACCCTTCTTGATTTTAAACCATGGAGTATTGGTCCCTTGCTCTGTTTGGATGACAGCTTCCTGGTCTAGGTGTAGGTTTTGCATGAGCACAATTAAGTGTTCTAGGATTCTCATTCTTTTCCACATTAGCTGTAATTTATTATGATCCACACAGTCAAATATTTTGCATAGTCAATAAAACACAAGTAGACATTTTCCCTGGTATTCTCTGCTTTCAGCTAGGATCCACTGGTTAAAATGTGTGCTGAATGGAGCTCTCGTGTCCTAGTGGCAAGAAGGTGCACTGCAATCCCGAAGGCGCACGGTTCAAATCCCCCAGATGCTCCACGGAAGGAGGGGCAATCTCCTCCTGTGCTAGTTGGATCCGATTTGACAGCACAAGTAACAACAACCAAAAAAAAAAAAAAGAGATAAGTGTGCGATACATCTTGAAGGATATGTACATGTACAGCCAAGCACAATCAATAAGAGTGCATCTGAATTCCAAAATCAATCTCCATAATAGTCTATGTGTTTCCTACTGCCAAAGGGGCCCTTTAGAGTAGTGAGAGAAGATCTTCACCCTGAAACCCACAGCGTCCCTTTTCAGCAGGAAGTAGCTAAGAGAATACGCCGTCCCCTTTTCCTTATGACTCAGGGTGAAGTCTCTCTCAGGGAGGAGTGAGGGAATGGCAAAGGATACACTGACAAAGAAGATTAATCAGAACTGGCTTTGACAAGCACTGTGGCATTTGGACAAGAACAAACTGGGAGGAGGGTAGAGAGAATAGTGCAACAATGAATGAGTGGAAGCCCAAAATCTCTGTAAATGTTTATGAAAATTAATAAAATATAATTATAGAAAAAAAATAAAATAAAATGGGAAACAAGGAAGGAATCATAACTGAAGACAGACTATCCTCAAAACGAAATGTTTAGGAATATGCTATTCATTGCCATCTAGTCAGAAATGACTCGCTGACGCTCCTGTGACTTTCCAGAGGCTGTAAATCCCGCTGGAGGAGATAGTCCATCTTACTCTCTTGGAGCAGATGGTGATGTGAACAGCTTGTCTTTGGGTTGGCAATGCAAGTCTTTACCCTCTAGGCCACCAGAGCTCCCTTTGAAATAGTCACTTATATCTGAAGTCTGGGTCATTTTTTTTTAATTTAAATTTTGTTACTTTTGTATGTGTACCACCAAATCAGATCCTCCTGTTATAGGAGGAGATTGCCCCTCCTTCTCCAGCAGAGCATCTGGTGGATTTGAACCACGTACGTCTGGGATTTTTTCTGGGATTCATCCTGGAGAGGATTTAAACCAGGCTGCTCCTTAGAGGCAAGGATTCTGAAGCTTCGTCTGACACACTTTGGACATGTTGTAAGGAGGGACCCGTCCTTGGAGAGGGATGTCATGTTTGAGAGGGTGGAGAGACAGCGCAGGAGGGGAAGACCCTCTATGAGATGCA